CAAAAAGCGATTGAATTAAAAACAGTCACATTTCATTAGAAGCTTTTATCTTTAGTTCAAATACTTACAACTAACGGATATGCATATCGTCTCTGAAACAATTCACTCATTCGAGTTTCACCTTCGTGTTCTGACATTTCTATAGTATCCTGAAAACAAAGGAAAAAAAAACGAATTTAATTTAGATAAAAACAATAGTATTATTTAGTAGTAGATCTTTTAAGAAAGTTGGAAATTTCATACTCTAATTGTGTTTGCTTCACGAGAAATATCAACGTCAGATCCCCTGAGGCGTTGCAAAGCATATCTACATTCTTTGTCCCGACCTTTTTTCGCCTGTCACATATATAAATAAACAAGATATTTTTAAGAAAGACCGAAACATATTTTAAATACTCTTTGAAAAGATTTTCAAAACCAGATTGTGGTTGGTTAAAAATCATAGAAGCCAAACACAATATGCAAGTATGATTAAACTTACCAGCCATCTTGGAGACTCGGGAATGAAAAATAAACAAAACACGTGAAGCACGCATGGGACCAAGCCTATAAACATACAAAACATAATGTTAAATTGACCGGATTGAATTATAACTACAAGTCTTTTAATTTCTTAGACTATAATGTCGAGATCATCATACCGACTATTGCTAAAAATCGCCATGGAATAAAGTTGCCAAGGATGAAGAAGAGTGCAATACCGCAATTTTGCATCAGCTGTAAACGTTCATGACAAACATGTAAATGTTATTGTTCCAAATATTAAACTGATTATATAGAACTTAAATTGTACTTACGAATAAACCTAGTTTACGTACCTGATTGGCAAACACAAACGATCCACGGACATGTTTTGGGGCAATTTCGGCTATATAGACGGGAATCTATATGAAACACAGCTTGTATCAAGTAAAACTTTTATTTTCATATTGAAATTTTGTGTCGTGAAAAAGCGTTTAGAGTAATAGTAAAATTACCACGTAGCTAAATAAACCAACGCCGATTCCAAGCAACAATCTTCCACAGTCCAGCCACAATGCGTCCTTCAAAATATTAATACAAAAATAAGTTTAGGTACTTAAAATTAAGGGTTAATATGCTAACTAACC